CTCTTCTTAACTTCCTTCTTCAGTGCTTAGTAGATTGTACCCAAATTCTCCTTTCACAGTCCGTCTCCCTAGTGGTTCGCCTCCTCCCTTGCCACCCGTTTATCCTCCACTAGTTTCCAGGTATCCTTAGGCAACTACTCCTTGTCCTGCCTCTCCTTCTTGCCTAAAGTATCTATACAGGTTTTCTGTCAAGTCGAAATCAGAGACTTCTACAGTTCTCTTATGAAGATTTCTTCCAGTAATTTACCTAGTATTTCCATGATCTTCCTCCTGATTGATCCTAGTAGCTTTGTTATTGAGTTTATGAGGATTCAACTGGAATCGGTCCGCGTCATTTGTAGGTTTTCAGCGTAATATAGCTGCAGCTTTCCTTCCGTCTCAGTCTAGACTTGCTTTCATGACACTGGTGGAATTTGATTGGCACTGCATGAGAGCTGTCAGTGAAACGATGTTAGTTACTCATTCAGTGTGGTCGTGATAATCTTCTAGGTAACCGTAAGAAAATATCGAATTTGAATTTGGCAACTCTGAGAGCCTGCTTTCATCCCTTCCTGTACCAAAAATCCATGACGAGTGGTTAGAATGAAATGAGTTAGCACATAGGTACAACGATACTGAAATGCAATAAACAACTCGACTGAGTGCAGAATTCGACTATTCTCACTCAATGCCTCCTGCTTCAGCGAGCCGCAAAAGTATCAGAATACAAACACTGACTGGTGGGGGCGGATATATTAGATAGAAATGTGTCATCATCGTACAATTCCGAAACAGAATCAGTGCCAGGTCATTGTTTAGGGTCACAGAATTTCGAGGCCAAGATTGCTCAACAAAATTATCGTGTCCCCTACAGAGCATAATTCTGGTGCTGAGACGAACGGTCTTCTACCTTGGCAGAACATTATTATCTCTGTTTTAACCAGATGAATTTCCCAAGTGGTACACGAGTGTGAAAAATGTCAGTATACACCATACAGGATGGAAGTTATGTGAGACTGTAATACATTATAAAATATTAGACAAGTGACGTATTAGATAGTTGGAGGCAATCGACAGGAAGCCTTAGATCTAGGTTTCGTGCTTGTTGGCATTCATAAGCAAGATGTGTCTGCTACCTTGAAGGAACTCATGTCCCTTCTGAGATTCGGAACCATGTCACCCAGTGCCTCAGTCAGAGACTCTACCACTAGGCTATCCAGGTTCGCCACTGAGGTCCAGTAGGACCATATTAGATACTTTGATTGGACACTGACTAATGTCATGTGGCTAGTCCTTCGTTTACTGCAGACTAAATTCAGAAAGGACATGAGTTCCTTCAAGACTGCAGATGCGCTTTGCTCACGAGTGTCAACAAGCACGAAACCTAGGTCTAAGGTTTCCTGTCAATAGTCTCCCACTGTCTTATAACAACAATTCTGAGTGCGCCATGATGGCGAGTCACCTAGCACGCTGGCCACACTGCAAACTTGGCTGAGGGAATTCAGTCTGCGGTAAACAAAGGACTAAACACATGATACTAGTTGGTGTCCAGTCAAAGTACATGTGATACATGCTGGAAATTTAAGGATCAATTTATTGCTTGGTTCTGATGACCAAAACCATTGAGGGTGATTTTGCATCCTGAAGAACCCATCCTTGTCCAATGTATGACTGTTGTAGATGTAGGGGACCAAAAGAGTTAGGCCATTCAATTGAATCTCAGTTACTTCGTTTTCAGTGGTCAACTTGTTTCCTTGTATTGACTCGATCGGATTGCAGACTATTGGATTTTTAAGGAACGAGAGCGTGACTGCGTCATTTTTATCTCTGTACTCTCTTCATACCACTGTTGGTAAGTAAATCTTTGAACAGTCACAAGGTCTACATTCCCTTTTCCCTAACTAAGGCGGCGTTAAGAGCAGCCTGACCACCCGGTTGGGTGTGCCGGGCTGAAAAGTTGGCAGGTAGTGTGGTCAAAGCTCAGGTATAACAAGATAGGTGGCCACACAGCAAGTGTGAGCATTATTACTAGTTCAAGACGATCGGAAACGAGCTTGTAGTCGTTCAAGCTGACCAGCTAACTGATTTCCTAGATAAGCATAATTTTAAGAGTCATAACAAACGGACGTCTCTGAGTTAATGACGTATATTTCCCTACCAGTGAAATACTTACGCAAGCAAAGTGTCACTTTTACAGGTTTCTCGACTTATAAGCATGACACACTCATCGTTCCTAGTGTAAAATACGACGGACGTTAAGGAAAATCCAGTATTTATTGGGGCAAAACGGTGAAGATTGTCGAATTACTACACACTGTAGAGATTTCACCACTTGAAAATAAGGTCGCCTGATGTTTACTGTGGATATCTATTGATTGTGGAGCTTAATCGGTTCTCTGTAAAATAGTGACCATCTTCTTAAGTCTTTTCTTCATTGGCTTTTCCATTGACGTATAAGTCGTCATTGCTTCTCCAGAGATGCCAGCCTATATAACCACTCATCCATCCTTCAGCAGCACACACCAAATACCCTGTATCTGAAAGTCGTTTCTTTGGCAGGGTCGACCTCCTCAAGTTGTTGATGTCTGGTTGTCTCAAGAACTTCTCTCCTTTACATCCGTGCGTGCACTGGTGCAGCTGACTGCCGTTTTTATTTATCTCTACTTTTGTGAAACAAACTGGAGCTAATTTTAGTGCGGCCATGTCTGGTTCTTCTACCTCCACAAGAAGACCTCCCGATCCATGTCCACCCCTCAATGTCATTCCACTCTTTATACCTAAGCCAACTTCTCAACTTGAATGTCTCCCTTTTCCCATTTCATTTTGCCTCAGCTTTCTTGATGCCTTAATTCTGTCTTCCCTTCACCCTCTGAGTATCTTTTCTCCGTTCATGCTATCTTGACATGCCACAGAGCCACCACTGTGACCAGATTTTATGTTGCATTACCAGGCATGGTTCTTGCCAAACACTAGCTGCAATGAATGTTTTTATTGTTCACTGTACTTGCTTGATATGCCAATCCACCAATCGCTTCCATTTTTAGCTAGCCATTCTTTCAGTAGACGATTAACTCAGTCCGTCAAACCATTCATCTCTTCATACTAACCAGCTGCTCCAATTGAATCCTATAGTGTTCAGTCAAGGAACACCATCCTCGTCATGCCATTCTCTGGTTTGGTTAAAATCTTTGCATGTTGTCCTGGAATCTTCGGGGTATTTACCCATCATTCAGATAGCTCTGCAATAATCAGCGGGTGTTGTTGCCACTCAGTGCTTACAGAAGTAAACTCCATGTGTCTACTTACCATAAGATGCTGATTGATGCCTAGGGAACTGGAAGTGGCTGCGATTGAATGAACCAACCACCTTTCACTGATTGGTACTGTGGAAAGACAAAGAAATACTTCTCAAGATGACCTCTCACGCTTAGCCACTAAGTAGTTCGATCCACGAGATCGTACTTACCTACCTCTTCTCTATAAGAAGCACAAATTTCTAAGTGGGACAGACTAAAATTCCCCCTGACGTTGCAGCACTTGTTACTGATTTTCCTAACCTACCACCGCGTGATATGTTATAACGGGGTGGTTGTGGGATAACGGTACATTATACTTTGGCCTCTCTGGCGTCGCCTTTACAGAAATAAATTTTCCGAAAGGTTTGTCCCTGATATTCAACCGTACATACAACGTGTGAGTAGGACAATCTAACAGGTTTTGGGTATCTTGTGTTTGCTTCTCGGAAACACATAATTCTACTTTCCGTAACCGCAGATTGACATGATTATTTGACTATGTTACAATTGTCTTCTTGTTTTCAAAGCTATCCAAATGACTAGCCTTTTTACGAACACATTTCTATAGTACAATGTATACACCGGTCTATCCATGCCATTATATCAATCTGAATCATTTTTGATGTTGTTGAAATATAGTCATTGACCAAGATTTTGTACGTCCACGAATGTGTTAACCGGATTTCTTCCTAGAAACTGACAAATAACGTCCCCCGAATAAATGAATTAGGAACATCCTTCGAAACACTTTTGTAACATCTAAGTGCCCAACACTTCCATATTTTGAGAGACCTTCGAGACTGCTTTTTTTTCTCATAACAGGTTTATTTGAATCGGACATTTTAACCTAATTAATTTGCACATTCTATCTCCAAAATTGACCTTTACTATCAGTTTCTCTTATTTGTAGTAAGTTATAGAAAATTCATTCTCACCACGATGTGACCAATTGTAACGTAGCAGAATAATGGACCTAAGGAGTATTCGCCTGCGTGTTTAAACAAGATTCCGTTAGCGGAACCAAATCTCTGAAGCGTAGCAAATCCATCGACAGACACTGATGAAGTAGACTTGCAATGATTGTTTAAATTTTACTTAATTTTTAAGTTTCTGCTGAAGATGGAAATTGCTCATTCTTTTAAGAGGTGTATATAGTAAAATGTCATTTGGACGGACTAGTAAGGTGTCTACATTGTTTGGTCCCCCACTGCATATGGCTTTTGTCATCAAAAATGTTTTGTCTGATGTCTGCACCGTGTCGGCCATAATAAATAAGGCGGCTATACGGAAACCTGGCGTTATTCAATTATTCACAAAAAAGCCTTTCGTTGGCTCTATATATCACCAGTTTATCCACTCTTCTCCCATAGGCGTCTCAGTATGCTAGGTGCTTCCCTGAGAAGTGGTCAACAGTGGATTGAGTCTACGAGGGCTTGCTAACTGTGTAAGGTTTATTCAGGACATATGCTTCAGAAATAGACTCACGGCCATGACGTCCACTCACGAATAAACAACAAATAGCCTGTTTAGTCACTTCCTCATTCTTACATTTGTGAAGTTCATAGCTTGAGAATTCGGTAACCAATTACACAATGCCAATTGTAGAAACAACTTTGGTCCAATATTTGTAGGATCGTTCATCCCACCATCACTGCAACCAGATCTTGTCTACTTTTCGAGGATTTGAAGTAAGTTCAAACAAATGTTTGTTTGATTCTGTTCAATAGTCATTGCGCGCTTTTAAATCTATCTCTGGCTGATGTCGTCCAGACACAGGATTGATATTGGGGAGCCGAAGCCCCGGAAGTCAAGGTATCGACCAGATGTGTTTTGTATGCTATCTACATTAATGCATTTAGCTTAATATAGGGGCACCGATTAGAGTTAAATAGTAGCCACGTGGTCTGTTGGAGGCCTCAGGTTAAAGTTATTTTTAGAGTTTTTATTTAGAAATAGAACACGTTATTATTAGTTTATTCTCATCATATCTGCCAATTCTGGCCTTGCAAAATATTCAGGCTCTGTTAGACCCGAGGTATGTCCTTCATAACTCCTGAATTTGTGAATTCAGTAGTTCTGCGTACGATTTTGAGCAAATGGCAGGAATGTTAATGTAATGGACAAAGCTTGGTTAAATGCTGCCTAAATAATGACTAAAATGGGAAAGTATTGGTTGAGTGATGGCAAGTTATTTGTTCAATATTGGTTAGATATAGCTTAAGTAATGTTCAGGATGATACAATATTGGTTATATTTTGGTCGGAAACGGAAGACTGTCACCCGTTACTCACCCTTTTTTTACCATTTTTCTGATTGTGTGTGGATAAAGCTTCAGCTTTATTTATAATTTCTACGATGCTGTGAAATTCCTCGCTGACTGAAAGGCCGAGAAATAAAATAGGGATGACTTCGTACAACGCTCACCTATACAAGTTTGTTTCCTGTAAATTTCTATGTAATTCAGCTCTGCATTCACCTTGTCATTAGATTATCCAATATGTTCATATGTTATAGTCATATTTACAGCCCTCTCTGATATGTGCATTTACAAACTAGAGAATTGAAGTGATTCATTTTCTTGGAAGTTGATAATTTAGTCAACCAGTTTAAGATTGTATGCACCTGCATGCTTGGATTCATGTCAGTGAGCATCGAGAAACCATGCAGCAATCTTTGTGAAGAAGCTATTCTATTCACTGGTCCACTAACCTAGTTGAGTTTAATAAATACCTTTGCTTGTTTACTTCTGCCTATTTATATAGCGATAGGTAATTCCCCAGAATTATTGGCCACAGCATTCATCGCTGAAGATTGGATGCTGACCCTCACTGTTTAAGTCAAATTGTCTACCTGAAGGCTTCCGGTCAAGCATCCACCCCATTTTGTACACCGTTATCTCACGTTCGTTCGTTCGTGCACGATCCCTAGCTAGTTAAGAAAACATCTCGCACTCCGATTTGGTCCCGAAATATAACTCGTAATTTGGACGATCAATTCTGGTGTTTTGCTTTGCCTTTGGTCTACGCGGAACGAATACTATAGAAGTTGTGGGTATTAGATCTTGCGTTAGTACACTTCGTACTACCCGTGAACGTCAATACCTTTAGCCTCTAAACTGACAACTCCGAAATTGTGATTCTCACATAAATCCTCTGGAGTCAGCACTGACTATCTGTTGTTTTACAGTTTCTACTAGTTCACTTATTGTGTTCTACGGGACAGCGTGGAAATCTAATGCTCAACGCGTAAATTTGAGCACTGTTCAGGCCGGAAATACTGTTTCGTGGATCTCAACTTTTAGCAAGAGCTACAGAACCGAAAGTAATTAGAGGAGAAAGAGACGTACAGAAAGCAAGTTTGGTGAACTGAAGACACTTAAGTTCTATTAAAATCCATGTGGGTAGAGGATGTCTCTGAGCCACCGACAATGGAAGTAGATGAAAAAGAAAACAACCAATATTTCATGTTGTAGTCTCTGCTTAGGGTTTTACATAAATTGTTCCTTGATGTTGTTGCTTGTAGGATAAACAAGTTTATGTCGCTATATTATTTGTGATTATATTTTACCAATGTATGTAGGTTCTCCGATGCACCGGAAAATCACACTCGTGATCGCTCGCGTTCTCCAATTAACCAAGGGAAGTCCAAGCAAAACTCTTCTAACATATCGCTTGCAGTGCAAACGAATCCATACAACGGTTAGTTTTGCTCACTAAACATGATTTATTTGCTACTGTGTCGTAGGCATTAATTTTGACTTGTCACTTTTGATAGGGGCGTACTTTTGGAAGCAGTCACAATTATTGATATAAGGATGAGACTTGTCACAGTGTTACACAGTAAATATTACTGCATAACACTGTGACTTTATCAAAATAAATTTTATCCATAATGGGCTCATAATTATGTGCTTACTTGCTGCAACCATTCTGCTTGGATAATCATGCTATATCGTTGATGTGTTATTAGAAACACCTGTGAAATACTGGTGAACTGCCTCATATGCTTACTGAATCTAGCGTTTTTTTCATTTTTAATATTTGGAAGACCTTTGAGTGACTATTTTACTTTTCTATTTCCTGCTTTATGGCCCACTTCTAGGACTTTTTCTAAAGTCTATGAAAAGATTTGGGACGGCGTTCACATGCCATTAATGCGTGGCTTCTCTTCCACTAAGCGCAGCTTGGTACCTTACACATTCTTCCACCTTCTTTGGATTTTATAGCAGCAAGTAAATGAATTCGAGAAAGGAATGTGTCCGCATGGAAATTAGAGCATGGAGCATTAACGACCGTTGTGTCCTGTCCGCTCTTCTCACCAGTTCATTCAGGCAACTTAACCGGGATCTAAAAGTGGAAAAATGGCCATGTGAATGCACCCTGGAGTCTCTAAAATTATCGAAAATGTAACGTGTCTAAGTTCGCTAAGTCTATTCCTTCCTCCAAGATCAAAACCATATCTTCGGTTCCCATTATGTTTCTTCAAGAAACAGTGTGTATACTTCTTCTAGGTGCACTGGAACTTGTCATGATGTTAACCAGAGTTTTCCCAATTCTTCTATCCGATCTCATGTTTTGCCTCATCACAGTAACCGCACAGTTCTGCTGTGCTGAGCTGGTTTCTTCGGCCACTATCTTGGTGATACTAGGTAATTTCACCCATATAGTCGGCGTTGTTTTTAATTATTTTCGTCTTTAACTGATGTTGTTATATCAGAACACGTTGGTACTTGCTAGCGCAAGTTTTTCGTCGAACTGATGTATACACTTGGTAAAATACACATACCTCACTTAAAAATAACCGCTTGCAAATATTATCCGTACCGTGCTTCTTACACCCCTTTCAGGTATTTCATATTGTTCCAGAAAGAGCTTCCATTTTTCCTCTTCCTTGTAGAACACGATACACTGGTACTTCATGTTCACTATTCAGGCCCTAATTATGTTAATATTTTCTTATTGGTTTATGCACTTAACTTCCAGCTTGTTTCGGATCCCAGTACTTTCAGCCTGGGTGACTAAGGAGTGTTATCAGTGCTCGCGTCAGGGTGATCCATATCCTAGTCCGTTGGATTTTACAACTTATTGTTCGCTTTTTTGCTAGGTAGTGTGTGGCAGTTAATTAAGTTATAGTTAAGTTCAGGCGTTACAAAGAGCAGCGGAAAATAAGTCAGGTGGCGTTTTTCTCGAACTAACAACCAACTCTTCATGCTGTTCTCTAAGGCCATTTAGTTGCATTTCTTGGACACCTATGAGGTGGTTTGCCTTGACGAAAGTTAACGTTTTCGGTTGTTGTGGGCTACGCTACTGATTGACCTTTTAGCCTAGCTTCCCTTACCTGTTGCCTAGGTTGCTCCTGACGCACCCACCAACTAATGAAGGATATAATACTTAGTCTGCTCTACAACATTTTTAGAACACATCAATTCCATAGAGGTACAGCCACACCTCGTTCTCCTAAAAGTCCAACTGTTCTCAACTTATCTCCGATCTCCATCAGTTAAGATTAAAAAGAATTGATCGTTCAAGGTGAAATGACTCCAGTTGAATTGAGTCCACGAATTTCTTTGATTTTATCAGTCGAATCGTTTACTGTCAATTTTACTAATCTCACAACTAATTCAGGTTCTATGCGTATTGTTGTTTATCCCCGTGTTTTGTCAATACTTAAACCAATGTAGCTTTTGGTGCTACTCGTAAGCTGCCTGCAACAACTAGGAATGCTTACTTTCCTAGTTTAGATTGGACAGTCATAGTTTTTTATTTCACGGATATGTTTAGGATCCAATAACCGGAAAGATTTCATGTACTAGGCTAAGAGGTACATGTGTGGTATGAGGACTAGTGACAATGCCTATTTACCCAAGTTGAAGTAAGTGGAACGAGACCTAAACTGGAGGATTGACTAAAACCTACAGCTACATCTTGAACATACTGTCGTGAATTTAGTAGCTCAAGTTTTCACTTTAAATAAGGACTGATGCTTGAAATGTCAGCACAAGCCTTACCTCGTATTCTAGCTCCAAAAACTTCGCACTTAGCCTATGCATTCCTAATTACAGGTGTAATACTTTTTTTAAAAAAGCATTATTGTTATCTTATGTGTTTACTGCATTTCAAAATTTAGATGAGTTTTATCCTAAGTGGAATAGGTTATGAATCTATTAGTTTGTTTTTTGTTGACACAATTATTCAGTCTTATTTGACGTTACAAAATGAAAGTGCACTGATGCGTATAAAATAGGTGATTCAAAATATTTTATTGGATTGCTGATGTTTCACTTCTTTTTAATCTCTATCGTGTTCACTTCATTTAGGCAGACCGTTCAGTCCCAGATACTTCGAGCTTTTCCGAAAGCGTGTCAAATTACCCGTTTGGGAATACAAGGAAAATTTCTTTCAAATATTATCGGACAATCAAGTCACTGTGTTGGTCGGGGAAACTGGTTCTGGTAAGACAACACAAATCCCTCAGTGGTGCCTTGAATGGGTAACTGGACGATATCCAACCAAAAAGGCAGTAGCCTGCACACAACCTCGTCGGGTAGCTGCTATGTCTGTTGCTCAACGTGTTTCAGAGGAAATGGATGTTGAATTAGGGCAAGAAGTGGGATATAGTATTCGATTTGAAGATTGCACCTCTTCCCGGACTGTGATGAAGTAAGACTGAACTATCTCATAGTCTATTTTTTCAGGTATATGACTGATGGTATGCTTTTGAGAGAAGGTATGTCTGATCCCCTACTTGAAGCCTATGGGGTCATTCTTTTGGACGAGGCTCACGAAAGAACCTTAGCAACTGATATTTTGATGGGTTTATTGAAGGAGATCACAAAACAGAGATTAGATCTGAAGATAGTCGTCATGAGCGCAACTCTAGATGCAGGAAAATTCCAAGTTAGTATATGTTTCATATCTGCTTCATAAATAAGTCTTGGGAGTATTTATTTAGTTAAATATATCGTAGTTGTATCACATTTTATTTGGAGTTGGATGAAGCCATCTACTTCTTCCCTTTTCGAAATGACCCAGGATTACTTTCACAAAGCACCTCTTATGACTGTGCCGGGTAGAACTCATCCAGTGGAAATTTTTTACACACCAGAACCAGAACGCGATTACCTCGAAGCAGCTATCCGTACTGTAATCCAAATTCATATGTGTGAAGAGATCGAAGGTGATATACTGCTGTTCCTCACAGGACAAGAAGAAATCGAAGAGGCGTGTAAACGTATCCAAAGAGAAGTAGACGGTTTGGGCCCAGATGTTGGTGAATTACGTTGCATTCCTCTCTATTCAACCCTCCCACCAAATCTTCAGCAAAGAATATTTGAACCTCCCCCACCGAAACGTGCTAATGGTGCTATTGGTCGAAAGGTTAGTAAATTTTAAAACATGGGTTATTGTTCCATTATAGATAAGATTTTATTTTGGGTTATTATTCACCTCCTTTTTAATTTATGTATTAATTCACTTGTTTGGTTTTGTCCTAGTAACTCCTTTAAATAACTTCAGTTTTACTATAACTACAGTTTAACCTTTCTGGTTTCTTGATTTTTGAAACTCACATAAACGTAGACTGAAATCCCAAGTGTGGCTTTTTGTGGCGAACTAGACAATTTCTGGTAGAAATCATCCTTTAGTTCATCCGAACTGCAGTCGGTTGGGGCGTAAGCAGAAACTGAAAAGACAGCGATGGGTAACACTGTCCTTCCTTCTTCTAACGGACCGGTTCGGACGAACCGCACACATACGACTATCCACTGGGATCCAGTCAAGAAAGGATTTTTATGCCCTAACACTCAATGCTATCTCTACACCTGCGAGTCCTCGCGAACTAGCTGAGGGGTCTCCTGACACCCTGAAAGTGAATTTTGCAGATTCACCTTATTGGCCGGCATACGGCATGTCTAAACTGGCTTTTTGGTTTGATTCCGTATAAGTAACTTACCACCCGCTACGAACCACTGAAGGGTAAGTCGGGATGCACAGTTTTCAAGGTTGACCTTTTCTAACTCCCTCTCTCAGAGTGGAGACACAGCATAGCTGGCAGGTTAGTCATCTGAGGGAAACACCTGACTGCCGTTACATCCCTGTTCCCCAGCAGTACTACTTTCCCCACAGATCCCCAGCATAGTGTAAAAAGAAACTTACACCATGCTGGTAACTGCTTTTAGTCTAATCGCTATCCTAACAATCTTCCTGGCATGGTAGGACCTTCAGCAATATTAGTTCCAGCCAGTGTTGCTTGTTTAGTTCGTTGCGATATGCAAGCCCGACCACCATTTCATGGTAGCAGCTATCGGTTAAGGTATTTTACGTGAATAGGTGGGTCGGTCAATTATTCTCTCCAGTACATAGCGTCACATTTCTATTCTGTCCTTAGTTTGATTTTATGAAGTGTAAAAACTTGAACCAATACATTACTGTGCTAAATACAGTATTTTCAAGTATTTCGGTCACCGGTACAATCCATTAATCGTAGAATTAATCCGTGGTGATCATAGAGTATATTCAAGTTTTGTAGTTGAAGCCTTTGAATTTCCACTTTAATTGTTTTACATTTCGTATTTGCATTTGACTCTAACAAATTAAACCAATACACTTCAATCCCAGGTTCTTTGATTTTTTATTTGTGCTTTTTCTTGAATGCTTGTAGTTCTTTGATAAACCAATTTTTTCGAAATATTCTGGTTACATATAGTAGCTTCGAAGATGCATCGAGAGTAAGATTTATGTTGTCAGTCTTAAGTCTTTACCTAGTAGAAACTAAAATCACTGGGCGTTATTTATTGTATTTCCTATAGAGTATGAGCAACATTTTCAAATGTATGTCTGTACACAAATATCACATAATAACTTCTTTGGAAGTAAATATGTAAATATTTCATCACAGTTAGAAATATATTTACATTATGAAGTTGCTTTGAATTGTTTGATAAGCTTTCTAAGATATTCACATAAGAACTAATTCATGATGTATTTTTATCACAGAAATTGTAAGCAACTTAGTTTGTGTAGTTCTTTTGTATAATGTATGCTGAAATCCTTTTCCACTGCTTTCCCTTACAGGTTGTTGTATCCACAAATATTGCTGAAACATCTCTAACAATTGATGGTGTGGTTTTCGTCATTGACCCAGGCTTTGCCAAACAGAAAGTTTACAATCCTCGTATTCGTGTTGAGTCACTCTTGGTTACTGCAATCAGCAAAGCTTCCGCACAACAGCGTGCTGGTAGAGCTGGTCGTACAAGACCAGGGAAATGTTTCCGACTGTATACGGAGAAGGCATATACAAATGAAATGCAGGAAAACACTTACCCAGAAATTCTACGGTCAAATTTAGGCACTGTAGTCCTTCAACTCAAGAAGCTAGGCATTGATGACTTGGTACATTTCGACTTTATGGACCCTCCTGGTGTGTATGAAGTGTGAATGAATCACATAATATTGTTAAACTTTCATGTTTTTATCAGATTTGTTTGCATCGTTTTCTCAGGTATCCATATCTTTATCGTCCTTAAAGCAGTGTCTATGTGACTGAATTGTAAATTAACGGCGAGACTTTGGTGAATCATAGGTAAACACTAAATTAGCATTAGTGCCACAATATTTAATGTAACTTATTATTATTTAAACGCATTAAAACTTGGTACAATATGGCACCAAGAAGGATGCGCCACACAATAATAATAAAACAACATAGATGAAAAGAAAGGAAGGAAGGCAGGAAAAGGAAAAATATATATATAAGTAGAGAACGAATAAAGAACTTCATCTGGAAGGAAAACACTCATTCTTAACAGGTTCAAACAGTGTTCGTTAACTATCATCGGGAATAGAAGAAAGAAGGAAATCGCAACACATTCGCCATTGATTACGATTCTTGGCCATATCCGATAACGTTTCGAGCCATCGATTTGAGCTATCTCTCAGACCCCAACCAGGGAGTCGTGACACACCAACCGATGCTAATCTAGCACAGAAATCCTTCATCCCACGACGCCACGTCATGGGCTGACCACCTCTCCGCCTTTTCCATCCCGTCCCAGGGCTAGCGAACAGAGACCTGTACGGAAGCCTCTGGGGTGACATTCGCAGCACATGTCCAAGCCACCGGAGCTGGTGTTTTCAGATGACGACATTCAATGAATGGTGATCTCCACTGTGTTCAAACACACGCCGCCGAACCTCAGAATTACTCACGCGATGATGCCATCGAACGCAAGCAATCCTGCGGAGACAGCGGTGATCGAACACGCAGAGTCGCCTCACATCCTCAGCTCGGAGAGGCCAGGTTTCACAGGCGTAGAGCAGCGCAGCCCGCACCGAAGCATTGTATACCCGACCTTTGACAGCCAGGCTAACGTCGCGACGGCGCCAGAGGTGGCTCAAGTTGATGTATGCCACCCTAGCTTTCATTATACGGTTGGAAATCTCATCCGTCACCCCTTCGCCAGCACTCACACAACTACCTAGGTACACAAACTTATCGACAACTTCAAGCGGTTCACCCGCAAGAGTGAGTGTAGGTACAGGCTCCTGCCAATCTTGTAACAGTACTTTGCACTTAGACGGCGCAAAGCACATACCATACTTACAGACACTGATCGCCAACTGATTAAGTGCGATTTGGGCAGCCTGCATGCTATCGCACAGTAAGACGATATCGTCTGCATACTCGAGGTCGAACCGTCTGTCTCCAGGTAGCAGATCTACACCACCTTCACGCACATCCTTCAGAGCTGACTCCAGAATGTCATCGATGGCAAAGTTAAAGAGAAATGGAGAGATTGGGCAACCCTGTCTAACCCCACTGTTGGTTGGGAACAGTGGTGATAGTTGGTTGTATGCCCTCACTCTACTTGAGGTGTTTCTGTATAGGGCTTTCAAGATGTTAACAAATTTCTCAGGTACACCTTTCTCTAACAGACAGTTCCAGAGCACAGTTCTGTCCAACGAATCGAAGGCAGCCCTAATATCAAGAAACACAACGATCGTTGGCCTGCAATACGTGTGGCGGTGTTCCAACAACTGACGAAGGGTGAACACATGATCAATACATCCACGACCTGAACGAAACCCAGCCTGCTCTTCGCGAATCAATCCTTCACGTATTTTGCACAGTCTGCGAAGCATAACAGCAGCCAATATTTTAGACGCAACTGGTAACAGACTGATACCCCTATGGTTGTTACACGAATTACGTCGACCCTTTTTAAAGATGGGGACGATAATGGCTTCGTTCCACATCGATGGTACGCTCTCTGTCTCCCACACCCTCCTGAACAACCCAGTTAGAGCCATTATGAGAGTCTCGCCACCATCTTTAAAAAGAGCCGGGGGTAATTTGTCTGGGCCGGGCGCCTTATGGCGTTTCAGAACTTGGAGTTCCTTACGGACCTCCGCTTCGGTGGGTGGGTCGGTACTAACCGACCAAGGAGCACTCGGGCTAATGATAGTAGACGATGAAGCTGGTGGCCAGCTGAACTGCTTCCCGAAGTGCTCTGCCCAGCGTTCCAGGCGTCTCTTCAGGCTGGTAATTGGAGTGCCATCTGCCTCACAGACCGTCTCGCTGACACCTTGTTTCTTGCTGCCGGTGGCTCGTATGAGTTGGAACAGCTTCCGACTGTTGCCAGATGCAGCAGCTGACTCCATCTCATACGCACGTTCTGACCACCAGGCTTCGCGGTCCTTACGTAAACACTGTCTAATCTTGCGCGTGAGCGCCTTTCGCTGATTGTTGTATTCACTGCCAGCCGGAATGGACCGGCGTTCATCCATGAGTTGCAAGGAACTCGCAGAAACCCAGTGGTTGTTAGCGGAGCATTCTTTCAAGCCGCAAGCGGCTACACTCGCCTTTTGCATGGCACCTTGCACATGAAGGCAGTGTTCATCTATACTACTTGGGGGGTTGCAGGCAATCATTGTTTTCAACTCATTCTGATATTTCAAAGAAGTAGTAGGTGCTACTAGTTTGCTCACATCAACGCTTAGCCGACGGTTTTTACGAACCCCACCAAATCGCAAGACGAACTTGGCACACACTAACGCATGATCGGAGTCCAGGCATGTGCTCCAGAAGGAGCGACAGTCTTGTATGCATCCTCGCCACCGGAAACTGACCGCAATATGATCAATCTGAGTCCAAGCTTGCTTCGCAGAGGGAGGACGCCAGGTAGCGCTACGGCGATGGCTGTGCCGGAAGTTGGTGCTGGCTAGAAATAGGTTGTGATCCGCACAAAGTTGCAGAAGACGGTCCCCATTATCTGACCTGCGACCATGTAGTCCCCACTGACCACCTAGACGACTCTCCTCTGAGCTTAGACGCCCGACCTGTGCATTCAAGTCCCCAGCTAGCACTACGATATCCCTCCGACCCGCCTGTTTCAACAGATCGCTCAGTTGGTAGTAAAACTCATCCTTCATTGCATCCGGGCTGCAATCCGTCGGTGCATAGGCAGAGACAACAAATAGACACCACCTATCTGGCCTACTACTCCTTACTTTCGTATATCCTTCCAGCCTCACAGCACATAAACGACTGTTAATGGGAATCCAGTCGAGCAGTGCAGCTTCGGCTCTAGCGCTCAGTGCGACACCGACACCAGCTACGCCGGATGCCGATGCCACAGGGTACCCGGATAAGCGCAGGTGGTACATACTACTAGAACTTCCAGATGGAGAGGATAGTCGAAGCACTTCACTGGTATCTTGAATGCGGGTCTCCGAAATGCAGCAGACATCGATAGCGAGGCTTTCCAAAGTTCTTGCCAACCCTGCCTGTTGTCCGATTTGCATCAGCGTCCGAACATTGTAGGTAGCCAGCTTGAACGCAGCACGCGGTTTCAGGATATCTGTGTTAGAAGTCACATTGGGAACAACCATTTTGAGTACTACTCACTAACATCTCGAAACGACACGGATAGGCTGGGAATCTCGACAAAGGCGAAAGGCTGTCGAAGGTTAAGAAGCCAAGGTTAGCTAAGGTAAAATACAGGAAACTATGTGTAAAAATAAAAGTAAGATAGGAAGGAAATAAGTTGCTTGAGGGATCAGTATTGCTTGGAATCATTTTTACTAGCGCGCGTTGAGTTTCAATGAGAGTTCGTTGCTTCAATTCATTCATTGTGTGCGGGCTGAGATACTGTCCGGGCGCCCAGACCGAAGCAGGTGGTTTTCTTAAGGGACCACCCCCCGAGCCTTTGACTTGGAGTCTAATCCGCAAGGCAGCGGAGCAGCGTCAGGAGCTGCATTCCCATGGTTGCCAGTGACCCATATGGGTTCATACGCCATTTGATCCGATTGAATTCTGGAGCCATTGTACCCCATGGTAACTGCTTTTAGTCTAACCGCTATCCAAACAACCTTCCTGACATGGTAGGACCTGCAGGGACATGAGTCCCAGCCAGTTTAGCTTGTTGGGTCATTGCGGTATTTAAGCCCAACCACCACGACAAGGTAGCAGTTATCGGCCGGGTTCTGCGGTACTGACCAATAGCGATAGTGAAAATGTTTTTTCTTTTTTTTGGGGGGGGATTTCACTAATCAATATTGAGTAGAGTGTAAAAGCTATAGAAAATCTTGTTAACTGTCACATAACGAAGTAACATTAATCATATATTTGGACTTTGAGAACCGTAAATTTTACATTTTCGTTTTGTGACCACCAGTTACCATCTTTGGTGGTTTACAAATATTACCATGTGTACAAAACTGGATAAAATGTTTGTCCTGTTTCATTACCTACAAACTTTCGCACATAAGTTTTCCCCATACATATTTAAAAACGAATGCAAGGTGTCGTTTCATTACTAGAAAACGACACAGCGGTAAAAACTCTGAATCGGTTTATGTGTTCACTCGTCTTTCCTATCATTTAAAATGCTTTTGTCTGCCCACACATTTTTTCACATGATGTTGAGTACACTGTTATTAGCTTTACGTCGTGTGTCAACAAGTAAGAATAACTGACTTCTCTGATCTTGACTTATTTACTAATATTTATAAAACATACTAATTTCGTGTAGGGCTATTAATCCGTGATATACCATGGATGGTGGACATACATTCTACAAAATACATCAATCAATTTCCCCGTGATTTATTTTATTGAGCAACTAGAGTTAGGGATCATTATTTTTCGTCATAAGATTATTCATTTCATCGTAAGTCTGCTGTTGTGTTGCTTCTCTCATTATGAGTATTTATTGAACACTAGCTCCCGAAACTCTGATGCGTGCTCTAGAACTATTGAATTACTTGGCTGCTCTTGATGATGATGGTAACTTAACAGATTTGGGAAGTATGATGGCTGAATTTCCACTTGATCCACAACTAGCAAAAATGGTCATCGCTTCCTGTGATTACAATTGCTCAAATGAAATCCTAAGCATCACTTCAATGTTGTCAGGTGAGTTAAATTTTCGTGTTACGAGTGTATGCTTGCGTAGACATTCTTTGTTTTCATACTTCCAAATTTAAGTCATGCAGGTCGAGAAAACTGCTTCTAAGTATCTTAAATACATGTTTAACAGTCGTACTGGAAAACTTTAATGGGGATTGTTGTTAGTTCACTACATAGCTTTGTTAGTTTGTTTGTGAGTGTTCCAGTGTTTTGGAGCGTTGTTGCTAAGGTGGACAAACAAAGGCAATATATTCAACCTCTTGTTTCGCTATTTCCAACTGTAGAGATGTGGCTCATTGTCTTAAGGACTCGAATTCCAACCAGTAATTTCAGGGATCGGATCTTTCTTCACCTGCTTCACACATTAAGTGTGGCTCACAGCCCGCTACCGGACAACTGAGCCCCAACTAAGTATTTTCTATTTTGTATTCTGTAGAAGTATAAACATAAGTTGCGCTATGACATGAATTATTTGGATTCTTGTTTTCTTCGTTAATATTCGTGACTTCCCGTTCAGCTCATATTTCTGGACCAAACTGGTCATCATTTTGGCATGTAAGTTCATTGAATAGGGATCTCGATATTCCCTTGATTTCCAACCTGAAGTTACTTCCTAGTGTGTGTGTGTGTGTGACCTAGACACTGGAAGTGTGTAATTTGCCTATGATATTGGATGATGGTGGCTCACTTTAACGTGTTAATTTGCAACATTCATGGTTCACTGGATTGCAAATGGGTGACTGATGCTAAACCTGACCTGAAAACCATCGGTTCAGTTCCTGGTGGAGCCATGGAGTTGCAAATTGGAACAAAACAGCTATCTAGTACTCCTTGGTTTCCAATGTTTTTCTAACTGATATCGCTTTGTGACGAAATCTGTTATATAGTATGCATGGTGAAACTGTATATACTTGTTTAGTGTGTTGCCCAGTAACGAGAGTCAAGGCTTATGTTCCCTCATATTTTAGATTCGTCTGGATGCTCCACTTGAAATTCGAAAGCAGCACTTATCTTTCGTAGCAGCAGAGGATTGTCCATTAAGCCTTTGGATTAAGTTATAGTTTTTTGCTAATATTTCCGATAAGCGTACGTTGCAGTCAAACTTATCTATTTCAGTCTTTGTTCACTAATCAACATTTTAAGTGTATGGTTATTTCGATCTTTACTTACAGTTCGTAATCGACTATATTAGAGTTATGCAACGGTATTGTGTAATAATATATTTCATTAGAGTCAGTTGACTTGTAGTTACTTCTATTAGTCAAGTCACATCTCAGTAATATGAGAAATTTTTTTTTTGTTATTTGTAGTACCTCAGTGTTTTGTGCGTCCTGCTGATGCCAAGAAACCTGCAGATGAAGCAAAGATGCGCTTTGCTCACATCGACGGGGATCACTTGACTATGTTAAATGTATATCATGCGTTCAAACAGAGTAAGAGTCAAATTATTTTGCTGTAAATAGAATTATTTTTTGTTTTTTAAATTATTTATGGGTTTACTCTTTGATTATCCCAACTAACTGAGTTTTAGTTGATAATTTCAGAATTTCTAAATTCCCATTTACGCATTTAGAAAAACAACAGATTGAGCGAAGAACTATATTCCTGTTCAATTAGTTCCTCATCATTGGCTCTACACTAATGTATAGTTTTTTACATCAAAATTTTTTACCAATCAAGGGTTTATTTTAGTTTAATCAGTTTTAGGTTTAGGTGGGTAAAGTTAACAGGTTAAAGGTCATCAAAACAATTAACTAATGGATGTTAGTAACAAGCATAGCTTAGCTGCATAGAAAGTCCTTTTGAAGGTCCTTCTCAAACGTTGTGATAAGATCTCACTATTGACATCACCCGTGAATTGTAACCTTAGGAAGATTGACTTTTTGGGGACAGTCGGCAACTTCGACTTTTTACCTTCTGAGTTCACGTGTTTGTTTACGAATTTAGTTGGATATCCGTTTCTACTTAGTAGATCGCGAATATTACCGAGTTCTTCGTTCATTGTCTCATTTGAACAGATAACTTTAGCCCGGTGAACCAGATATCTCATTAAGTTTGTATTGTAGAGGTACGAAGCTCAGGAAGTGAGTATACTGTCCAGTTGAAGTAGGTTTTCTGTACAAGCGTGTACATATTGTTCCGTCTGTTTGTTTAGTCATTAGGACGTCCAAGAAGGGGATAGAGTCATTTCTTCTTTTTCCTTAGTGAAGCTTATGCTGGGATTTATGCAATATGTCCTTAGCCTCACTTTCTTTCTTAACAACTATAAGTGTATCATCAACATATTGGCAATAGAAATCAAGATTATATATTACATCTTTAAGAGGATCATTCTCTAATTTCGGCAGGAAAAAATCTGTTAGGATTAGCCCTAGTGGTGATCCCATGGCAACACCATCTGATTGTCTATACATTTCTTTATTAAATAGGAAATTTACGTTCATTGTAAACCTTATAAGAAGTTCCTTTAGGGAAGACACAGGAATTCCAATCTCTATACCTTGCTTTATCAGAATTTTGTCAGAGGGACTGAAAACTTCAGTCTTCTTTGCTTAAATTGTACACTGTAATGTGAGAAGTCTATATCATCCATTTTTATCTCAGAGTTTTTGGTTCTTGTAACAAACAGAAACTGTGAGGTATTTTCGAATGGTTTATCCTTCTGAAACGATGCCTTCATTACAGCCTTCTAAATATGTAAGCTTAGGTAGTTGAAAAGAAAATGATTGTTTGGTGGTAGTCCATTCAGTGACGAATATAAAATCAACATGACTTAACTGTGAACTTCATTATTTTGTGCATGACGACCTCCATTGTTATCGGTTTGTTCAAACAAGCGTATGTGGAATGGAATGTTTTTCAAATCATTGATCCCAACGACTTTGTATATAAGGCAGTCAAAGAAGCACTCTACAAACACAAATCTTAGTAGTCGGGTTTCAAAAATATTTAGTTGCGATAATTTATCAGACCTTTTATTTCAAAATTTCCGGGAGTTTCATTTTATTTCATGCTTCTTGTAAATCAAAGTGAATGAACTGGCTATTACAACATTTATGAGTTGAAAAGAATATTGAGTTTCACATGTGTGCAAATCACAACTTATTGATTTAGTATTATATAATGCAACTTAATATTTTAAGTTGGTTTTCTAAAAAATAAATTCCTATTGTAATTTTATTTCTTAACAGTCACTAAGTGTACTTGTTATGAATTGCTTTATTTCGTAATAATAACCTGAACCAAACTATGTGCTGTTTTTTTTCACAGATCACGAAGATCCACAATGGTGTTACGATAATTTTATAAATTTCCGATCACTGAAGTCTGCAGACAATGTACGAGTACAGTTGTCACGCATTATGGATCGTTTTTCTCTCCGTCGTTCCAGTACTGACTTTACATCCAGAGACTATTATATTAACATTCGGAAAGCTCTTGTGTCTGGCTTTTTTATGCAGGTATGCCAAATGAAAGTACTTATCACTCCTTATTCATGAAAAACTTTCAGTCTGGATAGTAATCTGAAGAGTAGTGTATCATTGGTATCTATCCAAAGCGCCCAGTACACCTTTATTTAATTTTAGCGTATGAATGCAACTCTAACTGACTTCTATGTGACAGAGATTTACTTGCTACCAAGTGAATGAATCGGTAATTTAAAGTATACATATGATATAGTTCTCTTAGGTATAGACGCTGACAGAATGCAGTTTTCTGAACACCTTAAGCAAAAGTGTAAGCGTGTTTAGAATATGATTCACCCTTGTCAAATGTGAGGTGATACTATAGGACTAGTTTGTACCAACCTCTAGTTTATAGATGGGAAGTAAGTGATTTTGCAAGTATTACTGAGGTTAGGTATAATGTAAGAAAGAAAATTGAGTCTGAGTTTGGAAATCTCCACCACTTGAGATGGCCTGGTCATAGGTCACACATGACGAGTTATGGCTTTCCTGAACCAGCAATGCTAGTTCATATAGAATTAAACTGAAAAGGGGTTGAGGGGAAGGGGACGAAAAGAGCGCTAATCCATGAAGTCACTTACTATTGATATAAGCCGTATGTACAAATTTAGACTACCTACATAGGATCCTGGGGATACTAAGAATCTATTGTTTGCGATGGCGCAGATGTTCTTCTTGTCATCTTTTGCGCTTCTGTAAAGCCGTAACAATCTTCATTTATTTCCTCCGTCACACCTATGACTGCTTGTTATGGTTTCGTTACTTTTCTGCTCCTTTATTTGGTGCGTGTATATACAACTTACTTTACTTTACTTCGGCTATCTCCTACGGGAGGATGAGCCGGCTTCATGAACATCAAGAGAGTTCATGAAGTTTCATGGGAATTTGGTACGAGTGATGTCCCCAGAATCGCTCGGCCTTTTGTTTGAGAGTGCAGCTCTAGCCTTTACACAACCAAGTGTGACCTACAAGGCAGTAGGAGTGGAGTAGGGAGTCCACTATCCATTGGCAGCCAGTGACCGGAGTTCGGTTCATACGCCTTTTTGAATGGGGCCAGACATCCAGGACATCCAACAAGCCCTTTGTCCATACGTCTGCCGGTGAGCTCCAATGAGCTTCATACGCCAGTCGTTGGAGGTTTGGAATCAGGGTTTAGCCATCTCCCCTAGACTGTCATCCAATGAACAGTCAACCCGGTGAAGAGCGCCGGGCATCCGCTTTCGCCCTCTCACTTTGGTGAAAAACACCTCCGCCACGTGAAGGCAGTGAGTAGGACTTCCTCAGGAGAGGCTATGTAAGACGCCCGGTCATATGGGAGCATTTCAAGAGGTGTGCGGAGGGGTGGCCAACCCGCAGCGCAAGGCACCCCCGACCATCCTGAGGCTTTGGAGGCATATATATATATATTGTATATACAAGAACCTAACTCATACCTTTCCAGCGTTAACGTCACCCCTCCCCTAGGTGGTCATATTTTTTGTTGTTGGAAGAACATTCCCACTTAGATTTTGGGCAAGGTTTTGGGTACTTCGACTTAACGACACACCTTTCCTCATAATTCCTTGGTTTCACTTACTATAAACGAACTGATTTCGTAGTATTATTTATCTTCACATAATTTACCGTTACTTCAGTTAGTAAACTGTTTAGCTACGTTTTTTGTTTCACTATCTTATATTTACTAGGTATACGTTTTTTAAACTGATGTTTTTATTGAAATTTCTTTCAAGGTTGCACATCTTGAACGTACTGGGCACTATTTAACAGTGAAAGATAATCAAGTCGTTCAACTTCATCCTTCAACCGTAATGGATCACAAACCTGAATGGGTGTTATATAATGAATTTGTCCTTACAACAAAAAATTACATACGTACAGTGACCGAAGTCAAACCAGACTGGTACGTTTCCCACTGTTTTATTCTTTTTTCATTTCTTTGCTTCCTGGTTAACGCATAAAGCTCAATGCTTGAGGTTCCAGTAGCGATGGTATTGTAGGTGTTGCTGGCCTCACGTCCAACCTTCCCTCTTCTCCGGGATTCGAGATTTAAGCGTGCGGCCACTGGGAATCTGACTTGGACCACCTGCGTGGCTGGAGACCATTCTACTGCCGTTTAGTGTGTGCTAATTTATCACGTGAGGTGAAGTGTCATACATTGACGACATCTGACGACTCCTCATCCTTTTTATCTAGTTTCCAAAACACACAAGTAGAGTATTTATTTGTAATTCGTGAACCCAGTACTCCTTTCTCTGCACTAGTTTGTAGATCATGTTCGAAGCATGAGAGCTCAAAATAATACTTGGCTATTCACCTATAGTTAATACACCAGGTTTCGAGTCTAAGACCAATAGATCACCTCTGTTTGTGATTCACCAGTGCCGTGACAGATTTTATTTCGATCGATTAGATCTATGCATTGCTCATACACCCTCTGATCCAAAGTAGTCTTGTAATGAAATAATTCCTGAAAAATCTATTCTGTTCTAATCCTTAAATGTCTATATTTCCAACGTTGAATCAATAATTTAGTTAGCGTATTTAGCACTCATACCATTAAACTAAGAAAGTGAAAGTATTACTGTACACGTAAAGCATTTTATTTCTTTGTATATATATATATATATATATATATATATATATATATTAAAATTGACCATTTGTCTTGCGATAATAGTTATTCATACATTTTCTATGAGCATCTGTAAGGTGAAAAATAAATCACTGTTAAATATAGCCAACGTGTAAAACACAAATGTCTTGAAAGTTTAGTCTGGACTACCTGTTAAAGACTTACATTTTTATAAGTTGGTGAAATTAAAGTTTCCAGTGTGTTTTTGGATCGGCACTTTTTTCTGACGTCTTCGTTCTCATCAACATTGAGATCAGAAGACTTTGTAGGATTATTGTTTCCTCGTCAGTTTTCACAGAAATTTCTTCCACGCGGTTGAGAATCAATATGGTGTTTTTTATATTTTCAAGTTATGCTAGCACATCGATTTCAAAAATTTATTTAAAGGAAACGCCCACTTTTTCCACTATCTAGACCTGTAGTTAGTAATTCACGATGTTTTGTTTAAATTTGGTAGGATCAGACCTCTTGTGTACCAGGCTATGAGCCACACTTGTCATGTGAAGGCTGATGATACTACCCAGTATCATGGCTAAAGTAGGTAGAGTGAAACTTGACCCTCAACCTATTGACTGGGAGTCGAGTGCTTAAGCTAGTGAGGTATATCTCCACGGTGTACTATCATGTTTCACACTACTTTTGGCTTCTTTTAAGCTAATTTTACCTGGCAGAGATATGAATAATTTCTTTAACCGACTAATTCCTTTATCACATATCAAAATGTCGGCAGACAAATGATTTCTTCGGAGGTTGCATTATAGGTTTGATGTATGCTTCAGTTCATGAATGTATTCTTGATCTGCGAATCACTTCTGTGATGCATATTCCATTCCAAGTTGTATATTGAAGCGGAATTGATGATCCATATTTCGATAATAAAGCTTCAACTTCAGCTGTACTTATTCAGCAGTTCCAGTTACACCTGGTTTTTGAGATTATTATCTATGCTTGTTAATATACTATCTAATTTCTAGGAATACGACTACGTTGCAAAGGAGTTTTAAACTTTTATGTCTATACTGCTGTAAATCTACTTGTTTCAAATTAAGATTTACATACATTTATTATCAGTTTTCTACCTATACTCATGGCGTTATTTACTATCTTCAGCTGTAGATTAACCAGAAATTTCTCAATAATGAATGATATAGTTCCCAATATGTTTAGCTTTATTATTTTTCACAAGATGGCATTTATTTATCAATAAGTTTTTTTACTATTATTTGACAGGCTTGTTCGAATCGCTCCTCAATACTATGATATGTCGAATTTCCCAGATTGTGAAGCTCGCCGAATACTTGAACGAATAGTTCATCGGATTCAAAATCGAAAAATTCAGCAAGAACAGAAACAAAACCAAGAAACAAAGTTACAAGCACAAGGTTGATTTATGTTCATACAGCCAGAGAACTTTCATTCCTCTCACATTGTATGGTCGACCAATGTCACCAAATGCCTTTGTATTTTAATTTCCCTCCCCTATACTAACATTTAATCAGAAGTCATCTCTCATGTTTCATAAGTTTTTGTGTAGATGTTATCAGGGTAACAATAGATAACTTCTGGTTGATTGATTTTCGAGACGTGTTCATTTTTAATTGAGTACAAAGTGTGGAGTTGAGTAATTTAGCGTGTTTCACTCGTTCTGTTTCTGTTGTCTACCTTCAACAGTCACCCCTAACCGAAGACAGGATGATAGGTTTAGTTTGAACACTTGTTAGCTCGGAAAATATATTTCCGAAATCGAAACCAAACCACTTATAAGCATCGGTACGTGTCCCATTGGACGAATTTCCAATAAGATAACGAAGTAAATTTTAAGACAAATAATTAATATATATCTGAAACTTGAACACTGGTATAGTATGTAGTTCCTTATTAATTTGTTTATTAGATATATTACATAATGGAACCGCGTTATTTACTGGATGATGTCCTGAACCCAGTTTGTTTTTCATCACCTTATCAGTTTCTTCTATGCATGAGTCCTACTCACTGCCTTCACGTGGCGGAAGTGTTTTTCACCAAAGTGAGAGGGCGAAAGCGGATGCCCGGCGCTCTTCACCGGGTTGACTGTCTATTGGATGACAGTCTAGGGGAGATGGCTAAACCCTGATTCCAAACCTCCAACGACTGGCGTATGAAGCTCACTGGAGCTCACCGGCAGACGTATGGACAAAGGGCTTGTTGGATGTCCTGGATGTCTGTCCCCATTCAAAAAGGCGTATGAACCGAACTCCGGTCACCGGCTGCCAATGGATAGTGGACTCCCTACTCCACTCCTACTGCCTTGTAGGTCACACTTGATTATGTAATGGCTAGAGCTGCACTCTCAAACAAAAGGCCGAGCGATTCTGGGGACATCACTCGTACCAAATTCCCATGAAACTTCATGAACTCTCTTGATGTTCATGAAGCCGGCTCATCCTCCCGTAGGAGATAGCCGAAGTAAAGTAAAGTATGCATGAGAGATATCCTAGGCACTGTTCTCTATCCATCAGTGTGGATCTAAGCAACTAAATGGTATTGTTAGCCGTCAGACAATAAGTATAGGTTATATATTATGTGAAAATTCAAACCAGTTAGTCGAATTGTGATAAAATTACCACCAAATGAATTGAAACGTATCTCATACTTTCAGTTGAGGGATCAAAAGGTGTAAGTTGGCTTAGGGTGACGAGGTTTGACTTGTCACTTGAGACTAATTTACTACAAGCTAAGATGCATTCAAAGTTTTTGGTACAATTTTTCATGATTTAGGAATTTTAAAACAAGATCTTTGCAGCCATCTACTTGATGTAATGACTTCTGTCTCGTCTAAAGTATTAGTTGGAATTCTCGTGACATTCAGTTAATATTATCTTGCTTCTTTGTGGTACTTTCAGAAATGAGTGAGCTGAGGCATTTCACTGGTTAAATTATTTTCTGTAGTTTCGTCAAAGCACGTTTCGGCCTATTCTATCGCACAGATTGTGACAGAAACTGTGACTTCATCAAAATGTTCTGTTTACATGTAATGGGCAATGTTTCACCATACCTGTGAGTCGTATTTAATTTACAAGAGAGGTCGCGGTATTCGTTTTGTGGCGTGCGCTATTGATAAGACTTATAAGTAGTATATATACAGATATAAATGTATATATCATCTGCAAGGATAGCAGAGAGGTAGAGTTGATGGTGGAGAGCAGAAATGAACGAACATAGAAAACATGAAAGGAAAACAAGAAGCACAGTATACAAGATATTTTCGAATTGGGACTTTAATATACGGTAGATATATTTCGCCTGTCTGTACATCAAATGCAAACACACAATTCCGTCCCCAAGTACTATTATGTTTTGCCTTTGCATGTTTGTAATGACTCGAAAGACATTTCACACGGCCTACTATCACAAAAAGTTAGTCATTTTTTGAAGAGAACCCATTGGAAAAATCATGAAGTCCAAGTGTAGAATAAAGTATTCCGATTTATAATACAGTTCGGAAAACTCATTAGATGATCCTTTCTTGACTCAAACTCGACTGATGACTGTTACCTTGACATGGCTTTCGGGCTTGCATATCTCAATGACCAAACGAACTACACCATCTGGAACTAATGAATTCAGAAAGAGGTTAGACTAAAAGCAGCTAGGCTCTGCGATCCTGCAAAAATAATTCTTCTGTTTCAGCCGTTTCAAGAGGAGATCATTTACACAGATGTGGGCAGCCGGGAAGTAAGAACTGCCCACACACTTTCATGAACACACGAATTGGTGGGGGAGATGATATAGGCATCGGCGGTAGGGAACAGCAGACAACTATTTAGATTTATTAGGGGAATGAGTTCTAGGAAACCAATGGTAAGCAAAACGATCCCCAGAAAGAACGTCGCCTTAATTACCTCTCAGGATAGAATACTGAAACGTTGGAGGGAAATAGTTTGAAAAGCAGTTGAACTTCCTTATAGCCACGCAAAATTTACTCAGCATCTGACACATTCTTGTATGAAATGTAAACATTAGTCCTTCAACTCGAACTGAGGTTGCAAAAGCTGTCTCTAATCTGAAACGGGGCAGTACGATCTGATGGAACGACTCCAGAGGTGTTTAATGACCGGTAATCAACTGTTGTTCGGGTCTACTAAGTAACATCTGGGAATCTGAGATAGTCCTGCTGGACTTGTAAATTATTGTTGATTATCCCAATTTATAAGAATATTGTTCGTAAGAACTCATATGACATAGTCAACCTACTTATAAGTAGTTAAAATCGAATAGGTTGCAAAGTAAAATAATTACCGAATACTAATTTATCGTGATTATGTACCCGTAAATCACAAATAAAAATGCATCCATAAGAGGTTACAGTTTGTCATAAATTATTTGATTCGTCAATATGTGTCAAATAGTAAAAACTGCCAGTGTTAGTACTAGGATCTGTTAGTATTTGTAGTAGTAGTGTAACGACAGAAGACAATGGACAGGCAACAGATTGATTATTGAGAAAATAAAGAGGTATTTATAGATCTTTATGTACATTATTGTTAGCAGAGAAGCAACCTTTTCTTATTGGTTGTTTTCTTGCCGAAGGTTATTCTGTCATCTCTTGTGGCCGTTTCTTAGACAGTCCGGTCATATATCTGCGAATCGTATCTGCTCACGTCAAGTCTGCTGTGATTGGTTGGTGAGTGCCTCGAGGTTAGGCTTTGTTACTGTTTTTCTCATGACCCCAATTCGGGACGTAAGCATTGACATAAATTGTTGTCTACAATTTTGGCTTGCAGACAGCTCTCACCACACTGCCATCCAACAATTGCCATAATTCTTGACCTGAAGGTAGCATTCGACTCCGTCAACCGAGAGGTACTATAGGAGTGCTGAGAAAGTATATCACCCTAACTAAGGGATTCTATTCAGAGTCAAACAGGCCTTTAGGAGCTTAAGTAGAGCTGTCATTTGAAGGGATGCCCACTGTTCACATTTCTATTAAATTTCATCGTAGGTATACTAATGGAATTAACCCTAACTGACTTGCAACTTAGTGATATACTTGTTACCGGGTACGTGTCTTGTCAGCTTAGAGTATGTAGATTATATTGTCTTTCTAGGTGAAGATGCTAACGAAATGCAGTGGTTTCTGAACACTGAGCAGAAATCTTGGTATATACGAAGCGCGGTTCACCCCTGACAAATGTGAGATGACATTGTGTGATTGGTCTGTACTGACTCCTGGCTTAAGAATAGGAAGTGAAGTGGTTGTAGTGTTGAGCATTTCACTTATTTGGAGAGCTGTACCAGCCCTTATGGACTGATTACTGACGAGATCTCAGCATGGATGCCAACCGCTCGTGTGACGTTGGCCAACTTACTTCATAGATGTGATATCCAACTATCAATCAAAGGGCGTAAATGCTGTGCAGCAGTATACGGTATCCTTCTTTACGTGGCCGTTGGAAGTGGAAGAGATGAAGAAACCAGCTGTTTTTGACTACAGATGTTTGCGTTCTGTCTCCCGTGTTAAGTAGTACAGTACGATGAGCAATAGTTAGGTTAGGTGTATACAAAGTGAGGGAGGAAAGTCAGTCGATGAGGTTGGGTAGCTGGAACGATTGAGATGGTCAAGACACGTGTAACGCATACCGCTGCCTTTCTCGTCAAGCAGCATTAGCTGACGTAGGATTAGGTTGGAAAGAAGTTTGGGGTAGTCGTATCAATCCGCGAAGTCTTTGGCTGTTGGTCTGCTCCACGTAGTGAGGTGTAGACCACCTGGTTAGGGTCTTCGAGACACTAAGAAGCAATGACTGAAGACTGTTGGTGACATAGCTCAAAGTCGTCCTCCATTATTGAGCAGATGCATTCAATCTTTCTAATCCATTAAGTTCTCATGTTTCTCCGCATGGTTAATCTTTCTCTTACATTTCCGTCTGTTTATAGTTCTTATGGATATTTTCCCTACCTTTTTGTGCTGTAGATAGTCTAGTAACTTGAACTTTTCCTTTTCTTTGCAAAGTTCTGCTCTGAAAGCTTAGTTATTCAAACTGAATTACCAGTGAACCGCAGCACGTGAAAGCAACTTTAGTAGGTTTCAGTAGATGTTTGCGTAAAATCTTCATAGCGTTCCCTTACAGATTAAATTATGAGGTAATTACGACATATTTTTATATCTCAAAATAGTTTTCAAGTGCAACTATATTCGGTGGTATGTGGCATTACACAGAAATTTAATATGCAAAATTCAAAGTAATTAATATTACCTGCAGTTGAGCGATATCACTTCTCTCTTTCGGATTTATTTTGAAAATCCCTTCAAAAACTCGACGAAGATACTGGTCACTAACTTTGCTATACAAAATTAATCAGTAGTGGTAAGTTTATTTAAACTTACTCATCAATAATCACAGGCTGTGTGTTAATAGCCTCATAAACTTCATATTTATCTGCCCCATTGTAGAATGGCTATAGATGAAAATTACAACAAACGTCTTACCCTTCTATATATCATCCAGTATAAAGTCATTCCCATTGCCCATACATCTACTGGCTACTTAGAGATATACAAAAATGTAAAAAAAAGAACACATGCCTTTCCCGTATAAACATCTCCTGAAGCGTTTACACATTCTGGAGCAAGATATTCAGGAGTACCAATAGTTCCACGAAGTAATGCATCTTCTCCTGTGAATTCTACACTAATACTGAAATCTGTTATCTTGTGAACAATATATAAACGAAAAACAATATATAAGGGTAGAATATGAACTTTAAAGCAAAAAATAATTGCATAAAAACTTTATATATATATATATATCAAAGGGATATGAGTAGGGTCGAAAAATTGTGCTCGAAACATCAGCTGATAAATAATACTATCACAGTGCAATATAATAAAATTAGTTTTAAAGGATTTTCATCATGAGCTGACATTAGTCAGAGAACCATTGGAAAACCTGGGAGTACTGGACAGCTGTTTCGTCCTAGTTTGTGACTCTTCATCAGTACGCCCCCACCAGTCGGGTTCGGACCCAGGACCTTCTAGTTACAAGGCGAGCTCGTATACCATTAAGCCACTGGGACCCGATTAGTTTTGTTAAAAAATGTTGTCTTTTTAATCCTTACGACTTATTCGTGTCTGTTTATAATAAAAGTATACTTTTTTCGTATATTGAAATCTGATGAATTCATCAGTCGACACACCATACATCTGAAAGCAGAAGATTTCATCTCTCTGATGAAGATTTCAGTAATATCAAAGTTACTTAGTTATATTGGATGCGATTCAAACGTATGTTTTGTGAATAAAAAAATCAATAAATAAACTTGAAATCTGTGTTAGTGTAAAGCGAACGGCTCACACATTCAGTTAGCACATAGAGAAAATTGAGATATTGTTAAGGAAAAAGAAACATCAGTTAAGAGGAAAAATAAGCAAGTCAATTTTTTAAGCTGATTAAAGAGTGAACATATTCCAACCAGTGATATAAGTTTTTAATTACATTACATTGGCTGGTTATTACTGTTTAGCAATTCGAGAGTGACAATCTGGATTCTTACCCTTTCGTATACATTAAGTTCAGTGCTGAAAAGGTGGGTAACTCTAAACAAAGAACCCAGAAAAACGGACGTAATGACCTTGATCAACCAATCAGATGAATCCATACTAAAAACGCGGAAATATAGATGTAGTACACAAATTCTATCAAGAGGTAGTATTTGAGTACTGTAGGGATAACAGGCCTATAGGAAGCTTATAGATCGGGAGGATTAACGTCTTTACAAAGGTATGCAACCGCTGTTGATGTATATGTGTAGAGACGTCCACTCTATCGTCACAGGAAGTCTGTCCGAGAGGATATGCCGTTCCATTATGAATAAAATTTTATTTTGATAAAGTCACACAGTGTTTTACAGTAATATTTACTGATGATGTTTCGAGCACAATCTATTGCTCATAATCATATCAAGGTACTCACACAACTTTCCTGCTTCATTTATATACATGAGTAAAACCTGATTAGACATTTGAAAAAAATCAATATAAGATAAAGTACATTCGGAAATAATATTAGTGTTATCAATAAAATACAATAAGATTGGGAAATAAGATGTTTTTATAATAAAAATAAGTAACTTGTTAGAATGTGAATTGAATTCATTTTAAAATTATTTATTATCCTCTGATTTGACTGGTAATAATATCTTCCATATATCTAGTATTTGCGTTGAGTTACTTCTATTGCATGAGCTGGGTGTAGACTCGATGAACAAGGATTCAGTAATCAATCTCTCTCTCTCCACCTACCTATATTACTCTTTAGAATTTTTACTCTGTCCCACTCTGTTGTTTGGTTGCGTGTTAATGCGTGCAGTGCTATTGCTGAATTTTTTTTCTAAATTACTTACCTTCATGGAATCAATCATTCTAACCTTAGCTAAATGATGTTCTGATAATCTCACTACTCCTGATCTACTAGTTTGACCTATGTAGTTGACCTAACTCACAGTCATTGCAAGGTATTTTGTAAATTATATTATTTTGTTTAATTGGGTCCACCGACAGGGTCCTTTAGCCTACAGAGCTTGTCTCTGAGTGAGTTTGGAGGTTTGAATGCCACCCTTAACCCTGCTTTATGAACAATCCTAAATAGGTTCTCATATGTCCACTCCCCATATGATGAAACTGTAGATGACTTATGATTATTTTTATTTTGTTGCTGATCTTTTTTCATTTTCCCAATGAATTTTATAGGATAGTTATTTAACATTAATGCTTCTTCCATCTGTTTCATTTCATCATTAAGATTTTTTGTTGTACTTGGCGCTATTATTTTATTTTACTGACAAAATATCTTATTTCCCATCTCATTGACTAACAACACTCGTCTTTATATTTCAATGGGTTACACACAATGATAAGTTTTGTTATTGGTAATTTTGCTCGAAATATTACCAGTAACAAAACTTATCATTGTGTGTAAACCATTGGAATATAATTACACTTTATTTGATCTATTACTTGATGCTCAAACTTTTTACTGAAATTAACACTCGTCTTATTTCCCATCGTATTATACTTATTGATAAGACTAATAGTGTTTCCAAATGTACTTTATATTCCTTTCTATTTCCTTTACCTACCTGGGAAGCATCGCTTCAACTACAAGTGGAACTAACGAGGATATCAAAGCCAAGATCGGGAAAGCAAGACAAGCTTTCATTACTCTCAAGTCTGTATGGAGATCAACTGCACCCAGCGTGAAAAATAAGATCTGGATTTTCAACTGCAATGTGAAATCAATGCTACCATACGGATCAGATACTTGGCGCGTCACGAAGGGCACTTCGAACAAACTACAGACCTTCATCAACAGCTATCTTTGATCAATACTCGAGATCAGATGGTCAGGAAAGATCTGCAACAGGGAGGGATCTCTGGGAGCGAACCAACCCAGGAGGAACCGATTGTGCAACAAATGTGCAGGAAGAAATGGAGGTGGATTGGCCATACTCCGAGAAAACAAACCATCATCAAATGACATCATACGCCAGGGCATCGCTCGAGTTGAACCCGAATGCGAAACAGCGAGTTGGTCGTTCGAGGGTGACATGGATGGGGTCATGTGAAGAGGAGACGAAAGCATGTGGGCAGACGTGGAGCCAGGTGAAAACGTTGGCACAGAACCAAATGCAATGGAGGCATGTGGCTGAAGCCCTATGTTCCTTTAGGAATTAAAGGAAACAATAATAATAATAATAATATAAATGAAGCAAGAGAGTTGTGTGAGTGCCTTGATATGTTTATGAGCAATAGATTGTGCTCGAAACATCATCAGTAAATATTACTGTATAACACTGTGTGACTTGATCACAATAAAATTTTTTTCATAGTGGAATTATACTCTACCACAGTGCCCAAGTTTTATCCTTATATCAAGATATGTCGTTCCTTTTTAAGGGTCATAGATGTTGTAGACCAGTGAATGGGTCACGAAACAGCATGATACACAATTATCTGGATGAATTTATGTACAGAAATAGGTTTGAACTATCACTAAACACTCCAGTAAGAAATTAGAAGTTTTTCTTGGAACACACTCACTTCCACCGCACACGCACACAAAGGAGGACGCCCGACGTGGGCTTGAACTCACGACCCCGAGGTTAACAGTTTCATGCTCTACCGAATGAGCTAGCTAGTCGGTGGAACAGTGGTAGAATACTCACCAACCACCTTTGTGGTTCGGGGTTCGATCCCCGGCCGACTCACTCCTTTACCTCGCTAAGCCAGTAATAAGACTGGTAAAGAGGGAAGACGGGGCGTGAGGCTAGCAACCCCATCCCTCAAAAATAAACACCACTGCTACCCAAACTTCAAGCCTCCAGCTTGAAGCTCTATGTTCCACTGGGAACATAAAGGAATAAAAAAACCTAGTCTGTAGTGATTCTGTGATCATTATTAACACATATTTTTATTTTTTATTTATTTATTTTTTTTATTTTGATTTACAGCTTGATTCCACACCGTATTTTCAGTACAAGTATGGAATTTTCAGCATGGATATCGGTAGCCCAAATTCAGGTAAACCATAGATATCGGGTGTGCGCCGGCAGGGGATCGAACCCCGGACCATGTGCATGGTCGGCGAGAGTCCTAACCACTGTGCCACCGACGCACACATGGGGTGTAACTGTTAGTCTTGTTTAACTGAATAACTCAATAAATTAGCGTTAAACTATACAAACAACTTCATTAAAGTGTGAAAAACATATAGCTCATTTCTGTATATCGTTTTTATTCTGTCAATCAAGGTAAGTTATTTGTTAAGCTACAGGTTTTAAAATATACAACAGGCTATCGGTAATGCCAAGATGGGGGGAGGGGGTAATGTTGACGATGAGGTTGTTTATGCTTTTCTTTTAGGCGTTTAGATTTCACACTTATACCTACTTAGTAATTATGCGATGCAATTTAACTTGTTTATCGGAAGAAAGACAATGCTGTCAGTAGTTCATTAGAACTGATACAGTTTTGAAGTGAATGCAAAAATATTTAAAACCACTATTTATAAAAGCTTTTGTAATCAAATCTTTAAGCATGAAGGAAACAACAGCACTAAAAATGTATTCTGTTTTTAAATCACATGTCTTCTTATACCAGAACTGGGAAGCCATCTAATATTTATCAAAAACTAAGAAGTCGTTTCAGGAAACAGAACTCTCGTTAGTCTTTACTCAATGACATCATGTTTGGCTATCGCATCTCAACCAAGAATAGATGCCTGGGGAAATATCATAATTCATAGAAAATTCCCATTGGGACATAGAAAATCAAAACAAATGATTCAGAGAAGAGACTCTTTCAACGAATTTATTGTTGAGTTGTACAATCGTGTATAGATATGGTTTATTTTAAGAAATTATATTCGGTGAGGTAATTATATCATAGGTGTGAATGCATAAAATAATAATAATAGTAGTAGTAGTAGTATGAAATGCAATCAAAATGTTTGTGATTATAATCACAGTTCAGTGTGAAGTGGCAAAACAATTAATGTGATATATTGAATAATTCATAGGATATATAGAACTTGGAAGGGATGTGAAATTATAGGATTAGTAGGCAAACAGAATAAAAATAAAAGCGTTACGTAACATTGTGTGAAATTTGATAACACAGAATTTAACGTTGCTAAACAGAATTGATTTAGAATG